GATGTTCAGTCGTACATTTCATACAAAACTTTTTTAAGCATCCTTCACATGCTAAAATACCCACACCTTTTACACATTTTGCACATGCAACTTTTGATAAGGACATTCTAGACTAAATTATCGAAAATAGAAACATGCAATCCAATGTTTATATCAGAAATCTCATTACTCTGAATTTCAAACATTAACAAGATTTGAAAGGGGTCTGGTTTTGATCAAAAATATTTGCTCTACATATCCTAACATCATTGAAAACATTTTTGGATTTTTATAAAGTCAGCTGCTCAAGGCTTTCTGAGCATTTGTACAAATAGAGCGGTAACAGAATGAAAAATTCATTGAAGAAAAAACCTGCCTACAATCTTTTACATTCACATGAACCTATCGTAAATCTGTCGAATTTGGTTCAAATAATTTTTTTCTGTTAATAAAACACTCATAAAAGTATAACTTGGCTTTAGAAAAAAAAGCGTGTATATTAATACTATTATGCTTATCTGCATTTTATATTGTTTTTTACAAGAACAGAACGTGGAAAAACCCATGAAAAGAATTGAAACCATGTGTTAGAGAGAACAGAATGAGAAAAGGAAATAAAACAGGTGCACGTTCTGTTCTTTCTAACACATGGTTTCAATTCTTTTTATGAGTTTTCCACGTTCTGTTCTTGTAAAAAACAATATAAAATGCAGATAAGCATAATAGTATTAATATACACGCTTTTTTTTCTAAAGCCAAGTTATACTTTTATGAGTGTTTCAAATAATTTTGCTTATAAACCTATAGGCATGAGTTTTTAGAAAACATGTCGAAAACATGAAGCTTGCGATATTAATCCTTTGGTTACGGTTTTTTTTTGCAGATGCATCTTTTATTTTTCGTTCTGAAATAGTTTATAATGAGTTTCAGTAGTATAGTGCTCAAAAGTGTTTTAAAGTATGATAGTCTCCAAAACAACCTATCACACAAAGTCCAACATCACAAATATCACACTGATAATGTGTTTTTTTACGCTTCTTCTTACGTCTACTTGTGCGACTGCAAACTATACAGTCTCCTTGTAGACTTTCTTGTGTTGCTATTGCTGGAACAAGCGATGGAAAATGACGTCCAGTAAGACGTACGGGATTATCACTGGTAATAGGACGACCACCTATAGGTCTCGGTTGAGAATACCTTTCGATCAATTGTCGAATAAGTTCGCTTCGAAAATCTCCAAAATTAATAGACTTTTTATGCTTCATTTTGAATAACATATATGCGTTGAATGTTGATAAATCCAACAGATGAAAGAAGAATTTTTTATACCATTACAGAAGAAGATTACAGAAAGATACAGTAGTTATTTTAATAAAGTCTAAATGACATTATATTGAAGACAATACCCACAAAAGTTCAATGCCTATATATTGGTCACCCGTAACCAAAGGGTTAATATATGCCGTACAGATGCAACATGTATCGAATGGGCTGACATGAATACGTAGAACTCGACATCAATATCTATCCTATATGTGTGAAAAAGGTGTCGAATGTGAATATCTCGCCAAAGGCAAAAACACTTTCATTGACTTTAAATACACAAAAAGATACCCAGCTATTCAGTCATCCTGAGTTTGCTTTGGGTCTTTATGATTTCTTTCTATAATTTTAACGCAACAAATGCCTTAAAAAGATTTAATATGAGACTAAAACGCGTTTTTTCTCTAGGTTGACACGTTAAACTATCTATTTTAATTCATTTTAACGCATTAACGACTTTTCAATAAACGCGGCCTTTTTCGTTTACTTTTAGTATGTTAAATTTAACGCATGCCAACGCATAACTGGAATTATACGTCTGTTGAGCATTCAATCTGTTTGGAATTGATGGAACAATCGTTTCTAGATATATATAAAGTATTATTGCTATTATAAACTGATTTTTAGGGTTTGAAGACAGTGATTTCTGAAAAGGTAAAAAATTACCTTTGTCAGAGAAGGCAGTTTTTTCATTCAAATCACATTTTTATGCAAAACAAACCTTATATTCGTGATCAACGTGGTCGATAACCTGTATCTAGATGAAATCAGAGTGAAAAACAAAAAAAAAATTTGTTTCCCTGGGGGTAGGTACCACGGCAAAAAAACATTTAAAAAATAAAAAGTTATTTTTTTTCAAAAAAAATATACCGTTTTGTTCAGAATTTAATGCTGATTCTAACCATATAGTTTTTTCCCCAAATGTTTTGGGCGAAAAAATGACCTTACCGCCACTTGTTCTCTCTGTTTTCTCGGATTTCCAACCGCGCTTTTGCTTTTATCTGGTTTCTTCCAATAACATGAAAAAGAAACCACATGGCTCATTCTTTCTTATCAGGCAAGCTGTACAACAACGGCAGTAATTTGATGTTCGAAAAACACCATAACATGATTTTATCATTCTTTTCTTTTTTTCGTTTTTCAAGCCGAAACTCATTTCTTTTTGAAACGAACCGTAGTATTTACTTGTTCATTCTTTCTCCTTCTATATCGCCTCTTTCTTTACAATAAATATAATCTTGCAACCCTGTCAACCTCACATCATATGCAGGATGGACGGTGACAGATTTTTTATTTTTCAGATTTTGACAGGTTTTATCAATATGTCAGACATCGAAGAACTGAGTGAGGCTCTTTTGGAATCAAACACAACGGATTCAACCGTAGGTCTCCTTCCTTTTCGGAAAGATTACATCGGTTTGAAAGAGCGCTTTTTGGTTTCGTTATCATTCAGCTACTTAAAGTAAGAGATTTCGATACAACTTCTTAAGACTATCACAATAACTTATGTATAGCTCTAGGAGTTGCTCGGAAATGATACCACGCATTAGAGAGTAGGAAAGGATCGAGAAAACTTGACAAATGAAAATGCGGTAATAAGTGACGCCATTCTTTTGATCTCAGACGCCAGTAATGGACACATTTCTACCGCGAAACATTACCGTCAGTCAAACATCTCGCGAGGCGCCTAAAAGTGTTCCAGCACTTGTTTAATCAGATGTGGATGCTTAACATCTTTTAGATTCTCTTCCGCTCATAATGCTACTGTAGAACTTCTAGAAAACCGTGTTCTTTTAAAAAAAAAAAACAGTTGCCGCCAACTTCTAGTGATGATAAGCAACGAAAGCGTATGAGTGTTAGGACCCTCTAGTCCATGCTATCTTGGAATGAACAAAAAAGCTACAATGCATTTTTTAAGTCTCCTCTTCCAATGCCTCCAGGAAACTTTTGACGAGCTGAACCCTGTCTAAGATTCATCTGTGTATTCAGGTTATTTATTTCTATCATATGGCCAGAGGAGGTCCATGACAAGGAGGAAATTAAGGCTTGGAATTGTGATATTCGTGATCTCCATATCTTTTTACACTATTCATATAATTTTCAGGCGCCCCAAACGCTTCTGTCAAAAAGTATTAAAGATGGCGCTCGTTTCTATGTATACTTATTCTGTTCGTGCTATACGCAAACCAATAGAAATTCAAGGTGGCGGACGTACCTAAAATTAAATAGAGCCATCCTTTTTCTTAAAAATAATATAATAAACAAGTGCAGTTTATTGTATGAGCTCTTGGGAAAAAGCTCTAATTACAATTTCCCCGCCAATTACGAGAGAAATAGACTCGAGCGCGAAAAAGAAACGCGAATTTGGCGACAGAAAGAGATAAGAATGAATAACAAAAAAAAATATGAATAAATCACAGTTCTTTTATTGGAACGTGGTTTCTTTCAGAGCTCTCGGTTAGATGTTTGTAATTTACTAGTAGTTTATAGTTTTAGTTATCATACAGGTGAAAATAAATTGATTAACGTACAACTAACTACTTTTCAAGTAATATTTTCTGGAGTTTTTCTTTTATCTAGTAAACGTCTTTGTCGGAAATATGAGCGGCTGATAAAAGTAGATCTTACGATGATATAATCGACTGTTTAGTTAAGTTCCCAATTGAACTAATGTAAGATCTATCACAGCGTTAGAGTTTCATAAATATACACAGGTTTTTTATTCTAATAACTAATGTCCTATTCGTATAAAAAATAAAAATAAAAAATAAAGAGTTTTTCGACTACTGCAGTATTCTGTAAACGGTTATTGCTAGCGTTCACCATTTCATACTATATATTTTAGATTTTTCAAAAACAAAATAACGTAAAGTCTTCTTGAAAACAACTTCTTATTGGACAGCAAACATTTTTTCGGTCTATTTTAAGGTAACGTCTTTGTAGAGTTATTGTTCATTTTTAGCTCAACGAGATACTAATTTTATTTTTAAAAGCAAATTCTAATAGTTCTGGCAAGAAAAGAACGTAGCTCAACTTCAGAGCTTCGGACAGTTCTTGATGCGAACATTATTGATGAGTTCTGTTAAGTATTTATAAGAAATAGACAGACTTGCTTGTAGATTGAAATGTAGTAATTATAAGTACTATAACGAGTAGACAGCTGATTCATATAAAATTCCACGTTGACTGGTTTTAAATTTGTTTAATTGTCCACTTATATCGTCGTATTCAAAATAATCGTTATCTAACCTGATTAGCGGCGTAAAGTGTCCAGAAGTGATTTGATTATTTTTCGCTTGTTTGTGTAGTAAATGATAATTGACGGCACCATGATGTGCAGTAAGAGCTCTCAATGTATATCTAGAAATTGGAAGAAAATTCAAGTTAATTGTTTGCATATTAGGTGTTGAATTTTACATTTTGTCACCCATTTTAAGGTTCACTGGAATATGGTTGATTAAAGGTCCAGCTGAGTCCACATTCAAAATGCAAACTAGTGGTGCATCATGTACAAATACAGATTTTTTCACCATTCTCTTGTATCCACAATAAGCCGTCAATCTATAGGTATAAACAAATAATAACAAGTTGAAATTTAATGGTAGAATGCCTTTAGAAGAAAGTATCTGTTGACATCTTAGTGATACTCGTAAAGAACCCTTCAACGGTCAGAAGCTAAAGTTACGACTCAAAACTAGATTTCGTTCTGTATTCCGTTTTTGTCTCTACATACAGAGAGAGCTTGTGCAAGAGCTGTTGACGTATAGATTGTGTGATCTGCATTTAAAACGAGAAATATTTTTACATTTTTTCTGATTTATTTGTGATGGGATCAATAACGTTGCAGTCTTGAACATCATATTTTCCAGGATGAGAGAAATTTTCTTTCCACTGTGCAATTGTTTCTCCGCATCTTGCTGAGATGAAATCTTCTTCAAATTTCTCTACGTAGGGATGGTACGTTGATCGATCTTCAGTGGCACTATAATAGGTAACAATAAAATTCGTGAGTGTTTAACGACTTAGGGTGAGTCCACTCTCCCTAAATGTGCCTTCAAATTATGTCAGTTTGAAGAAAACAGCTGATTACATATATCCTTCAGGTTTTTCGATGAACTGATAACTATTTACAGAGTTATTAAGTAATTAAGTTTAAATTTTAATTAAGGTCCTAGTTCTCATTTTAAAAAGATTGTGGCTCAGTCAAATATAATCCTAGAAAAGTCATTCATGCATTGCTTGATAGCCAATGGTCTGTTGTTATGGTGTGATGAAAAAAGTCAATTCTGCGCAAGGCCGACCTCTCTATCTGTTGTGGTTCTGGAATGGCAATCATTCTCCTGAGTCATAAATATAATATAAACAAACCACAGTCCAAATTGCAGGTAACATCATAAGTTACCCCTAAAGGTAATAAAATTAGTTGTATACAATTTGTTAACGGGTCTTTGTGGTTAGTACCTTCGAATAAAAGTCTTTTTATGGAGTATTTTGGACAGTGTAAGTCGATGTTACCAATTCGAACAATGTGCCTCGGCAAACTATTATTGAAGAAGTGAATGTCAAACACAAATGGTACATTTACAGATTTTCATGAGGTTAATCTGGAATACGTTGAGTTTTTCATGATTCAGACTTTTGTTATTCTATGATGAACATCTCTTACAAGCAGCATTTTTGACAAATATTTTTAATAGCACACGAAACGATTTTCTTTTCTGTATCACTCGTTCCACTATGTCCTTTCAATTTAGAGTACAAAAATTATTCTATAAGATCGTTTTGTCAAAACTTTTTCTTTTCAAAGCAATTCTGCTTGCGAACGTATAAACACACTTTTATTTTTGTGAAAATATTAGTTTATTAGATTTCTTTACATCATCCTTAATCGTTAAAAAAGCTATTCCTGCTTCAAAGAAATGTTATGAAGACACTTGCGGATTGTCTGATGTAAGCTGCACTAGGTATTTAGGTAATTTTCATCGAGACTTAAGGTAATATTTTACACGTACCTAGATGGTATTATTTGTTCCATTTCTTGCCCACCAGCGTCCTGAAACAAATCGCTTTTCGAACAGTAATATATATCTTTTTCATCACTCTTGAATGAACATTCTTGATCGTCCTCCACATTTTCGGGTTGTTCTTTCTCAATCTCTGGATCCGTCTCTTCTTCCAGACTCTCCACTACCTTTGAGTCGTTTTGTGCACTGTCACTCTCGTCTTGTTCATGAATGATTTCGTCTTGATCACTATTGTATTCGCTATCTGTGCTTGCATCATCATCAATGTTAACTAACGTTTGTGGTCTTTGTTTCCATTCGTTCAGAATTTGTAGACGGGTCAACGCTAAATATTAGAGAATGAAATGATGGTCCTGGGTCCTGAGGACATCATGACATTCTATAGAGAATATATTTGACTAGAGAGAGTGAATATTATAAGACACCTGTTCTCGATTACTTTTTGGGTTGAAAAAAATTTTTTTTTACAGGTTAGATGATGAGATTAGTAACATTCAAGTAATTCAGTTAAATGTATTTTTAATTTTTCAAAATTCATATTGTGTCGGGCAAATCGAAATAGATCGAAGAGAAGCTTTCTTGGCAGTTTAGGTTTTAGTAGATATATTGGAATCTTGATTCTACTGGTACGAGATATTCTACTATCGGACAAAACGTTGATACTTGTTCAACAGTTTGCACAGAACATTTTTTTGTACGATTAAACGGTCTGTCTTCTATCTAATAAGAAAAAGATTACACGCTACTTAACTAACTCTTCTCATCTCACGTTTCATAAGATCTGTTGATAAATCCATTTTATGTTATAAAATAAGATAGATCAAAATAAAAGCTTGCTTAGTTACTTACAGTCGATTAATAATAGCTTGGCCAAAATTTTGTTTCGTAGCATTTGCTTAAAATATTGATTTTTCCTGTTTGTGGCACGAAAAAAGTTTGCTGTTAACATATCGTTGCTTTTTTTGACCCCTTCCAGTGAATATGTTGTTAAATCATCGTATTTTTGATGAAACTCAAGGCCGTGAGCACCCAAAACATGTACATAAGGCGTGATTCGATCAAGACCAAATTGATTGCTATATTTGTCAGACCAGTCTTCGATATCATTCATCAACTTTAATTCTAAATTTTTTGACAATTTCTTTTTCTCTTTAGCTGTTTTTAATTGAGCCAATATTTGATGAAATACTTTCATTGAGTTAATTAAATCTTTTGCCTTTTTCTTATCAACAGCGATTAATTCCAACGGTAGTGTCAAAGTGTACTTCTTATGTTTAACGCTGTTTATCATGCTACCAACATTTATTTGATTATTCACTAATTTAAATCGAACAGATGTCTATACGCGAAAAATATTCAATGTACAAAATTATACTATATACATCAGCTCTGAAGGCTCTCTTTCCGATAAATATTTATTCATTCTTTTCCAAGTATGCGTAGATTTCTCAGTTGTTTGCCGATGCTGTGTTTTTATATAGATCGGAGATGATCTGTAATTACGGTTTTTACATACACAATCGCATCATCGTAAAGGATTTTTGCTGTGTTTCAGTGGCATAGAACCTCTTTCCTAGGTAGGATTTAATTAAAAGTTGTTCCTTCATTTCTATATTCGGTGTGAATTGTACACCTCAGCTGAAATCGTTTTTTTGATTGTGATTATTTAACAGGTGTATAAATGCATAGTTTCATACTATCCGTGAATTTTTTCTAGAATGTGTTACAATCTGGTATAAGTACTATCGGCGCCAAAACAATGTGCGCGTGGCTGTTTTTGAATAACTTTTGACACAAAAGTCGTAGCGACGTGCGGTTTTCGTTGCTGGATAGCCAAGACCTTAAGACATGTTTTTGTAAGAAGAAACTTATTTTCAAATTTTTTGGAAGGCTGATTTCCCAGAGGATCTTTGGAAAACCAGCTCCGTTCTCAGAAAGCTAACTTACAATGTTAGTAATTTTTTGCATGCGTAGGTAGTCCGGACGTTACTCTATAAAATTAGGCAAGCCACAGCTCTCTAGCTGTTATCGTTCGGACAGGACCCGCTTTCCCCGAGCACGTGTCTATCTCCGAGTAGGCTCCTTTGGGAATCTCGAAGTGCCATGGAATATAGGTAATCGACTACGCTGAGCATAGTGGCAACATATGTTTTTGTGTGGAAATGAAAATAATTTGGCCAGAGGTATTTTTGTGAAAAACCAGTTTTTCACCTGTTATCAGCAAAAATTAAAATCCTTATATCTCGATCAAATCTCATGCTGACTCAAGGAAATTTTCCGGAAACGCTCAGGACAGCTCATAAATCATAATCGCAGATGAAAAAGGTGAATTTCAGCTGGACATTGGTTTAAGGTTGTCCAGAAATCTTCTGAAAAACCTGAAAGCCACAGTACCCTGCTGGACCACTTTTTCGGGTTGATGAACAATATATGATGTCTTTTCTGAAATTTTCCTTGAGTCAGCATGGACTTGATCGAGATATAAGGATTTTAATTTTTGCTGATGACAGGTGAAAAACTGTTTTTTTCACAAAAATACCTCTGGTCAAGTTATTTCCATTTTCGCACAAAAACATATGTTGCCACTATGCTCAGCGTAGTCGATTACCTATATTCCATGGCACTTCGAGATTCCCAGAGGAGCCTACTCGGAGATAGACACGTGCTCGGGGAAAACGGGTCCTGTCCGAACGATAACAGCTAGAGAGCTGTGGCTTGCCTGATTTTATAGAGTAACGTCCGGACTACCTACGCATGCAAAAAAATTACAGAGGATGGCAAATAGTGACCCCTTAGGAATTTTGACAACAGCAAGGCACTTATCAATTCCTAGAACGTCTCATCCCTTCTAGCGTGCGGGTCAGGTTGAGTCGTCATGTCTGTCTGGCTGTGTTTGGCTAGTGATCAACAATTCTACATCTCTGGGTCGGATCAGGTTGGGTTATCATGTCTGTAGTCAACATATATTACTAAATCTCTGGGTCGGGTTGAGTTGTCATGTGTTTCGTGCACTGTCTTACTAGTGATCAACAACTGTATATGTGTGAGTCGGGTTAGGTTGGGTTATCCTATCTGTAGACAACATATATCACTAAATCTCTAGGTCGGGTAAGGTTGGGTTATCATGTCTGTAGTCAACATATATTCCACTAGATTTCTGGGTCGGGTTAGGTTGAGTCGTCACGTTTGTCTAGCTGTAACTGACTACTATTCATCAGTTCTATATCCCTGAGTTGGGTTAGGTTGGGTTGCCATGTGTGTCTTGCAGTGTCTCAGGGATGAATAGTTCTATATGTGTGGGTTGGGTTATCATGTCTGTAGGCAACATATATCACTAGATCTGTGGGTCGGGTTAGGTTAAGTCGTCATGTCTCTCTATACGTTTATAATATTGTATTACTGATCACATTTATTCAATCGTCATGT